GAAATGCTCACTGGCTCGCTGCCCTTCCAAGGGAAGGATCGTAAGGAGACCATGACCCTCATCCTCAAGTAAGAGGAGTTTGTCTTGCATATATGAATAGGAGGCGAGCTTGTGCTCTCTCTCCAAGCGTGTTGCAATTTGGGGGTTCTCGCAACTTAATGGCATTATTTGGCAAGCGGGTTTGTATCAACAGTTAGTTTGAAGGGTGCAGGGTAAATGCCAAGCAGGTGATTGTACCGTCAGGGGTGGAGGTGCTGCAGTTGGCTCGTGGGTTGATTTCTTTAAACCTCTGCAACTGATTGCGTAACTTCCTCTCCAGAGCAAAGCTGGGCATGCCACAGTTCCTGAGCTCTGAAGCACAGAGCCTCCTGCGAGCCCTTTTCAAAAGGAATCCAGCCAACCGATTAGGTAAGACATTTTCTACGGTTTCTGAGTGTGCCTGATGCTGTATGGGAGCCTCTCACGTCCTCATGGGTCAGCTGCGTGTTCACACTTGTGCTCGGTTAATGGGCTCGATTCATTAAAGCCAGGTTCCCCATAATACCCGACCATGTTGTGTACGTGGTAGCAGCAATTTAGATTAGACACGAGGAAAAAGTTCTTTACTATGAGGGTGGTAAAACACTGGCAGGGGTTGCCCCAAGAGGGGGTGGAGGCCCCATCCCTGGAGGTATTCAAGGTCAGGCTGGACGGGTCTCTGAGCAGCCTGATGTAGTCAGAGATGTTCCTGCTCACTGCAGGGGGGTTGGACTAGATGGCCTTTAAAGGTGCCTTCCAACCCAACACATTATATGATTTATGGGTGGTCCTGGTTTAATGCAGCACACTCCATGGTTACATCTTTCAGGTTCTGGACCCGATGGGGCAGAAGAGATCAAGCGCCATCCTTTCTACTCCACCATTGACTGGAATGTGAGTATCAGAAACACAAGAGCAAGCTCTTCACCGCCCAGGCACCTGTGGTGCAGTTGTGGTAACACCATAGTCATGATGCTTGACCAGCTGTGGGAGAGCTACCAATCCCCTTTTCCATCTGTTCCAGTAATCCTTCGTGAATCTGAAATGCTGTTTGTCATGTGAATAACTGTTTCACACCTGAGTTGTCTATGATCTCACCTTGATTTGAATTTACTCATCTCTCAGCAGTAAGGTGCAGGTTTTAATTGGGGCTTGGCACAACATGGACTGTCTTGCACAAAGTGGGAAGGAATTGGGAAAACACTTCTGGCAGGGAAATACCTTGTTTTGCGCAGAGAAGCAGGTCGATAACTGAAACCACCATTTCCCAATTGCTTCTGGCCAGCTCCTTACTTTGCCACATAATTTTGTTTCTTCCCTGTTTTCCCTTACTTGATAAGGGATTTTGAAGATCAGTGTTTCAATGCTTTTGAGGCACCCAGCAAGCTGCTAGACTGATCCCTCAGCAACCCTCGTAAAGCTTATTTCAAGTTTTTGCTTCAAGAAGCAATTTTAAAAGGCTACTTATGGGAGTGCTGGGATACAGATGTCCTCCTAGGGCATCTCCTCTGGCCATGTCCAGGGAGGTATGTGTCAGCAAAGCCCTGACGGGAGTTAGAAGGGAGATGGAAGAGTCTTGTGAGGTAAATGTGTTACGTTACTGCTTTAGGTGTAGGGCCAAGTTGCAGATAGAACACCTTTTTGTTTTCTTGATTTATCGTGGTGGTATTTCTCCACAAACTGACTCAGAAGCACCCCACTGACCAAGAAGTCTTCCCTCAGACAGCTGAGCTGTAGTTAAATGCTAAAGCACAGAAATCTGGAGTCTCTCCTTGGCCTCTTGTTCCTAGCAAGGCTTTACATCCTTCTGAGTGCGTACAGGAGCATTGAGCTGTCAGAGCACTCTCGAGCTGCCTTTGTTTTGCAGAAGCTGTACCGCAGGGAAATCAAACCGCCCTTCAAGCCCGCAGTTGGCCAGCCAGATGACACTTTTTATTTTGACACAGAGTTTACATCACGCACACCAAAAGGTGGGTATGAATTCACACAAAGCCACCGTTTCCTGCATGAAACGATCCTGTGCAGCTCAACACTGGTTTTCCTCCCACCGCTGCTGCCAGCTCCAGGTGGTTGCAGCACTGAGGAGGTGCCTCAGCCATGGATATGTGGGGTGTTAGGGATGACCTTGGTGCTGCGTGGTGTAGCCCGGGTCTCAAATAACCGAAAGAATAGCCACAGCTCCTGGGGAGCAAGGGGAAGGTTCTGCTTCTCCTTCTTCAAGCTGTCTCTTGACTCCTGTTGCAGATTCCCCAGGCATCCCCCCCAGTGCTGGGGCCCATCAGCTCTTCCATTTTGTGGCGACTGGATTGATGGAGGACGGCAAGGTGAAACCTGTCCAGTCGCCTCTGCATTCGGTGGTACAGGTAAGAAGTGGGGACAGAGGAACAACTGCTTGAAGCTGCAGCAATACTCTAGAGCGGGTCTGTGGGACCTCTGTAGCATTCGGAGCAGAGCTAATGGGAAGCTTGAGGCAGTGCCGTCCTGTTCTGGATTCTTGCATCCTCTTGCTCTTTCATTTCTACTGACTGTCTCGTGCAGAAGTCTGGTTTCCTCTCCCCAGGTGGATTCGTGCCTAAATGCCTGTGGGCTGAAAGGTGCCGCCATGCTAGATGCAGAGAGCGTTAGCCCACTGACCTATATCTGCCTTATTCTCTTCTTCTCCCTCTCCCCAGCCGGGAGGAGAAGCTGGGGATGTAGCAGACAGCAGTCTGTCGGCTCACTCTGCGTTGCAGCTAACTGCACCTTGCACAAACACTGCCCTGAACTGCAGTTCATCTGCTCTCTGCTCTCCTCTCGTAGCAGCTGCACGGCAAGAATGTCCAGTTCAACGATGGCTACGTGGTGAAGGAGGCAATCGGCGTCGGCTCCTACTCAGTGTGTAAACGCTGCATTCATAAAGCAACCAACATGGAATACGCAGTCAAGGTCTGAGATTTACCATCTGAACTGAGCTCCCCTGTTTAGGTTTCTGTTCATCCCCGCAATTACCAAAGTAACTTTCAAGAATGTAATTGCTTTCCCTGTTCACATAGGACCTAAATGGGCAATTTCTGTGCTGCTGTGCATGTTACTGCACAAGCTTTCTTATCTGGGAATAGTGGGGAAGCAGTGATCTCTGTCAGAGGGAGGACAGCATCTCACCTTGCTTTGCAAAGCTCGCTGTGGCTACATCAGTTCTTCACCAATAAGCCAGGCAGAAAACTTCGAGGTTTGGGGACACAGAACCAACGCAGCAAGTGTAGGGGGTTTCTAGAGCTTATTGCTAAAGAGAGCAGGGAACAGGGAGCGGCTTTGGAACAGAATCTCTGCAGGGCTCCAAACGCTCAGCTTGTTTGCTTTGTCCTGGCCGCTTTCCAACCCTGTTGCTGCTAATGCTGATCCGTCCTCTTGCAGGTTATTGACAAGAGCAAGCGAGACCCTTCTGAGGAAATAGAAATCCTCCTGCGATACGGGCAGCACCCGAACATCATCACCTTGAAGGATGTGAGTATGACTCGAGTGATGTCCTTGTGCTTAGGTTTAGGAAGTACAGACTGGTCTGGGGGGACAGAATGCAGCTGTAGCACAGGCAACCCATCGGCCCTGCTCAATGGATCGCTCTGGGGTGGGGAAGCATCCCCAGACCCGCCTCTGCGTTGCTGATTTCTTGGTGGCAGAAGTACCAATGGGAAACTCCGGAAGCACTTTTTGGTTAACCCCCTCCATATTTGGTTTGGTAGGTGTATGATGATGGGAAGTACGTGTATCTGGTGACTGAGCTTATGAGAGGAGGGGAGCTGCTGGATAAAATCCTCAGACAGAAATTTTTCTCGGAAAGGGAAGCCAGTTCGGTCCTGCACACGATCTGTAAAACGGTGGAGTATCTGCATTCCCAAGGGGTGAGTATGGTTACATCTGTTTGCCTGGGAAGCTCTCTGGCATTGCACTACGCTCCCTCTCCTCCAGGGAGTAATTCTGCCTGTCAGGACTATTATTTCTTGCTAGTGTTGCTGTCTTGGCACGCCAGATGTGAGGCCAGAGCAGGGGTTGAGTGTCCCGATACAGCTTCAGACCTTTGTCTTCCTTGGGAATGAGAAACAGAGCTTTCCTTGCTCCACAGGTGGTTCACAGGGATTTGAAACCCAGCAATATTCTCTACGTGGATGAGTCAGGAAACCCTGAAAGCATTCGCATTTGTGACTTCGGCTTTGCCAAGCAGCTGCGGGCTGAGAACGGTCTTCTCATGACTCCTTGTTATACGGCAAACTTCGTGGCACCCGAGGTGAGCACCTCGCTGAGCTGAGACCCTGCAGTAGCTCTCACATCCCTCCCCTCGCCTGTGCTCTCACTCGGCACAGATAGGTCTGTCTCGTTCCTAACTCCAGCCCGCTCTGGCCTATTCTGTCCTGGAGCAGGTAATTACAGAGATACCACGTGTAGTAATGAACAAACGGGATCTCCAGCGCAGTGACAGTGCAGTCCTCCAGCTCTTACTGATGGAGGGCTCTGCTTGGAGTAGTGAGACTTTAAAATCCCAGCGATTTTCTCGGCTGGTTCTCTTCTGATCAACTGACCTCTTAAAAGAGGTGGGATGATTTTCCACCTGGTTCTTTTGGTGAGGAATAAAGAAATAGAGCAGGCATGCCATGGAGCATGCCCGCAGTCACTGCGCCAGAACTCACTTGTTGTTTTGATGTGCCTGAGGGGTTCCTCTGTTCCATGAAACCAAAATCTAATTTGAATCCTGATCATTAGTCCAAGACTCTGCTGCTCGGTAGCGCTCTAGGAGCTTTGTGTATGGGCCGTACCCAACGCAGGCGTCAAGCTGCTCTTCACAACCTGATGTGAGCTCAACAATGGGAACTGGACACGCTTTTTTTTTTTCTTTGCTCATTCTGTTCAGGTACTAAAACGCCAAGGCTACGATGAGGGCTGTGACATCTGGAGCCTGGGAGTTCTCCTGTACACGATGCTCGCAGGGTAAGCGCCTCTGTCTCGCTGGAAGGCAGCAGCCGGGGCTGTGACCGCCTCGATCTTGGACGTGCTCTGTGGTGGCAGCTGGGCCTCTCCCCCTCAGTCACTGCGACCTGGGGGTGACCCCAGCTGGGTCACAGGACAGTAAATCAGATGTTACCTCTTCTCTCCCCAGCTGCACTCCCTTTGCTAATGGTCCCAGCGACACTCCAGAAGAGATCCTGACCCGGATAGGCGGGGGGAAGTTCTCTGTCAGTGGAGGCAACTGGGACACTATTTCGGACATGGCCAAGGTAGGTTTGCTGTTTGCGTTACATCAAAGGGTTGAGGTCAAGCATGGCCAATTGCTGTGAGGCAAGTTTAAAGCAGGCTGGGGAGGGAGGACAGAAGAGAGAGGAGAAAACCAACAGCAAAGCTTCTACCCCAGGCAGATCTCCCCCGTGGCAACTCAGCAGCGTGCCTCTCCCTGCTGTGAATATTTGCGTGGAACAACAACCTCTTGTTTGAGCCCTGTGAGGTTTGCGGCTTTGTTACACCTCCCAGGCCTACCAAAAACTTATTTTATACTAAAGGAGATTGATGTCTGGGGACTTTATACTTGCCCTCTGAATTTCAATCTTAATTTGGGGGCGGACAGGTGGTATTTTTGCATTTCAAGCATGAAACCTTCTGAAGTCTAACTTTTCAAACAATTCCCTTAGGACCTGGTATCAAAGATGCTTCACGTAGATCCTCACCAGCGTTTAACAGCCAAGCAGGTCCTGCAGCATCCCTGGATAACCCGGAAGGACAGCTTACCCCAGAGCCAGCTGAATCACCAGGACGTTCAGCTTGTAAAGGTACAAAGTCCGGGCTGGGCCTTCAGCTGGTTCCTCACATATCTTGGGCTTGTTGGAATCCATGTGGTGTGATGGTGGGGTGGGTGAAGCAGGATGGAAGGTTGGAGAGGAGTGGGCCAGGGGAGGCAATACAAGACAAGCGCTTTTTTTGGCAGGAAAACCTAGGGAGGTTCTTTAACAGCATGGCAGTGTGGGAGGAAAAAGGAAGATGCTTTGTGTGTGGGTCTGGCTACTCTGGTCCCTCCTCTTGTAAAGCCATGAGTTTGAAATATTACATCTAAGCAACTTCTCGTGCCTTCTCTCCAAGGGGGCGATGGCTGCCACGTACTCTGCACTGAACAGCTCCAAGCCAAGCCCCCAGCTGAAGCCCATCGAATCCTCCATTCTGGCGCAGAGACGGGTGAAGAAGCTTCCTTCCACCACACTGTGAGGTTGGGGTGATCTGCAGCCGCACGCCGCGGTGCGGGCACGCGCCAGACTTTGCACATCTGCTGAAGACGAGGGGCAGGAGATCGGGTGGTCGATGCCTGCACAGGAGCACCCCTGAGGACTCGTTCTCAAAAGGCCAAGTGCCTTCCTCTTTCTGAAAGACTGGCTCCTCCTTGCGCGGACTGATCTTTGCCGAGAGAATTTCACTGTAAAACTTTTTTGAAGTGTAAATTGTCAATTTTTAAAGACATCCATCTGTGTATATGAGAACTAGAATGTATAACTGATGTCAAGTGGCACTAAAAAGCAGCTCTGATTCACCCTTTCCTGTGCAGGGCCAGATATTTGTTGTAGCTACGTCGTTTCTTGGAGCTGACCCTCTCCATCACCATTGCAGCTTGGAAGGCTGCATGATGTTTGGGGTTTAGGCTTTGGGGTTTTTCTTCCTTTGAACCTTTGGATGCCCTTCCCAAAGCCAACCCTGCGGACTCCTGGCCAGCAGCACTCGCGTTTGTAAAGGACTTCCCTCCCCTTCACTTCACTTTTTGTGTGTGTGTGTGTGTGTGCTCAGAGCTCCAGGTCGATTTTTCAGACTCCGTTTCTTCCTCTCTCCTGCCCTCCCCCAGCCCAGGCAGCAGTTCTGTGAGCAAAACAAACCACAGGTTTTCCAAACACCCCCTTAGCTGCTCGGCTGTCTACAATACCTGCCAGGTTTGGCTCGTTCCTTCCCTCTGTCATCCCATCTTCATGTTCTCCCCATCACTCCCTGGGGAGTTTGGCACCCGCACAGGTGGGGATGACAAAGGAACCTTTTCCTTGGCAAAGCTGAGCTTCTTCGGGCTGGCTCTGGCTGCTGCTTTTAGCTTTTTAGG